AAACATCTATACACTACTATTCTATTACAAAATATTAAATGGGTAAGGATTTGCAAAATGAAAGAGTTTTTGTTTTCAAGGTTGTGAAGCCTTTCTCAAAAGTTTAAACCTTGCCAATGGAACTCAAAGCTTGCATGTTATTCCTTTTACAAAATCCTCAATTTTCATTGATCATCATAACATAAGATTTTGTGGTATCCACTAATGTAAATATTTTAAATTGAAGATCGAATTCATTCATTGTATTTATATAGGGTCAATGAGTGTAGCTATAAAAAATCATCAAAATCGAAGTTAAAATAACCATTGAATCGTGATTTTTCGTTGATAACCGTCAAAAAGCTTTGTCCCGTTACTTGATCTTTGAATGTTTATTGTTTGCAATTTTTTGCATATGCGATCATGAAGCATATACAAACAAGTTTGACGGTTGGATTGTTGAAATTAGTTTCGTAGAATGCGTATCCCATCAAAACGATAGATTTACTAACACTTGAATTTACTTATACTTTCATTAAGTATAACATAAGAATTTGTAGTATCCACTAGTATAAATATTTTAAATTTGAAGATCGAATTCATTCATTGTATTCATATAGGGTCAAGGAGTGTAGCCGTAAAAAATCATCAAAATCGGAGTTAAAATAACCATCAAATCGTGATTTTTCGTTGATAACCGTTGAAAAGTTTTGTCCCGTTACTTGATCTCTGAATGTTTGTTTTTTGCAATTTTGGCATATGCGATCTCCAACTATATATAAACATGTTTGATAGTTGGATCATTGAAACTAGTTTCGTAGAATGCGTATCTCATCAAAACAATAGATTCACTAACACTTAAGAGTTTATTCATACTTTCATTAAGTATAACATAAAATTTTGTGGTATCCACTAGTGTAAATATTTTAAATTGAAGATCAAGTACATTCATTGTATTCATATAGGATCAAGGAGTGTAGCTGTAAAAAATCATCAAAATCAGAGTTAAAATAACCGTTAAATCGTGATTTTTCATTGATAGCATCGAAAAGTTTTGTCACGTTACTTGATCTTTGAATGTTTGTTTTTTGCGATTTTTTGCTTATGCGATCTAGAACCATATACAAACAAGTTTGACGGTTGGATCATTGAAATTAGTTTCGTAAAATTCGTATCCCATCAAGTTTAATGGTATATATATGTATATTTATTAAGTAGTTTAAATTTATTTATTTTGTACAAATAACACTTAAGAAATCGAATGGTATGTATATTTAAGCTGATCCAATGGTCACCAAATTTTAATATTTAATTTAATTATATATATATATATATAATTATTATAGTTTGTAGGGGTATATAATTGTTAAATTAATATATATATATATATATAATTATTGTAGCATTTTTTAGGGTTATAAAATTATGAAATTAATATTTTGCTTATCGTGTATCGTGTTACCCACGTGTATACCCCGAATCAACTCGTTATCTTAACAGGTGCTTATCGGGTTACTCGATAAAAACCCGATTCGTTATCGTGTCGACCCGAACACCTATTAATTTCATGTCGTATCTTGTCGGATTATCAGGTCGTGTCAAGAATTGCCGGCCTACTCCACGCTATAGATATAGGTATAATTGTTTTCTACCATTGTGGTAAATCACCATCAGCATGATACCTAACTGAAGTTGCCATATTTCACCAAAGCGAATTAAGATATTGGAGTATACTAAAAAGTTACCCGTGTAAACTCACCACAACAACATCTTATCAAAGCATCATACGCTCATATCAATCCCTTCAAAGAAAATGCGACAAACCTCAACGAGGAGCACCTCCCAAATTTTTTTCTCAGACACAATCTGATGAGTAGATTTTATATTATATATTTAATCCTATTCTTAGTATATTTTGGTTATTATTTTGGAAGAATTTTGGTACTTTGAATTGTATTTTCAATATAGGACTTTCGACTTCCTCTGGAGCAAAACATAACCAAATGGACGAATTTTGGAGTAATTCCAGTTGGAGGACGTTTATGAGTCAGTTAGCTTAACCGTACCAAAATATCAGATTTTTCTACCAAGCGATGATTTTCTGGCAATAAAATAAAGGAGCAATGCGCAGTGCTGGAATAGTGACGTTTTGGGCTTGACTTGTTTTTTTGGAGCCCAAGATGACCTCAGATGGGTTCGTGGCCTTCTAGAGATGTGTTCAGAACGTTCCGATCTTCAAAACAAGCTATCATGGGCCGGATTTGGAGGATATTTGAGACTAAAACGTGGCTAGACAAGTATTTGGCAGATTCTCCTAGCTTAATTAGGATTTTATATTCTAAGATATTTTATTATTATTCTTAGTTTCCTAGTTGGAAAAGACCTGGTTTCTAGGGTTTGTACGATAGTTAGGGGGGATTTTAAGGCTTTTGCCGTTTTTAGTTTTCTTTCTATGCTTTCTTTTATGCAACTTTGGAGACAGAGTAATTAATTGCTAGGGTTCATGAAGATTTTCTACGTTAAGGTGTTTTCATTCCTTTTATTCTTAATAATTTTTTTTATGATTTTAATTATGAATATGTGTAACTAATCCGTTTTGCTAGGACGAAGCCTTAAGCTTAACATGAATATGTAATTTTTATTTAATTGCTTATGATTGATTGCATGCACACTTTGAATTATTAATCACCGTGATTAAAACTATCTAATTGTCTTAATGCCTTATCACCATTAGGAGTTTAGAAAAATAATTTGATGTAATTTTGGTCGGAAGGTTCCCTGAAATTAACGCTGGTTTCTTGTGATTAATAATTGTAATTTCAATTAAGATGAACATCACATCTTAAGGGTTGCACGGTATTTCAAAGGGTTTTTATAAAGCATAATGAGTCTCTCATGTTCAGATTTGATCCGAACGTCCAGACGGGTTACATGTTAGGTATATATTCTATGTTGAAGGTTCCAAGTAGAATATAAATTAGGAAAACCTAACCTTCAAAGTAGCATGTATAGATCGTAAGTAATTGGTAAAAATACATAGGATTGCTAGGTGATGGTGAAACCCTAGTCTTTTATAAATTGGTATTTAAAATTATTTTCTTTTGTCATATTCATTTTTAATTAAAATTCGTTTTTTTTATTATCTAAAATCAAAATCTCTTTTCTAAATTTTTAATTCTAAATAGTTGATTAGGAATTGTTTTTGCATAAATTATCCAAATAGTCTTTGAGGAGAACGACCTTGCATGAGCATCTATACTACAATATCTTTGTATTCTTGCAAATATTTCATGTGATTTTGACTCTATTTGCTTAGATGTTAAAAATCCTATCACAGTCCACAGCTCCCAACACCCTGCCAAGAAATAATATTTGAATATAGCTAGCATGCCTAGAGTCTTCCAATTGCTATTTGAGATATTGCAGAAGCGAGAATACAAAAAATGGAATATGTAATCCGCCAGCGTTTTGTCCGACCTGAAATCTTCAGATCATCAGACATTGTTAAGAGTATGCATTGTGTAGCAAGAATATCTAAAGTAGTTGCTTTAGCAGTTTTTGTTCGGAGGACAAACACCTGCATAAATATCAGAAATTAGTATATATGATACAGACGGAAAAGTCACATACACACATGTACAAAGGCGGAGGGAAGGGGGTGAGACGGAGAGATAACATGGTATTATTCTGAATCAAATTTCAAAATTTCTTTGTCGCATTAAATATTGTAGTTTTTCTGATTTAATCAAATTAATAAAAAGTCAGGCAAAGCACAAAACAACACTATTGGTAGACAACATTTATATTATTTTTCTAATTATTGTGGACCTACTTGTATAGGTAAGCCATACCTCTAATAAAGAGGTGATACACATGTGTTTACCCTAGCTTATCCTAATCAAGGATTTTTTTCTTGGTTACAAGTGACTAAGGCCTGGTTTGGTACTGAGGTGATTCTGAAAAAAACTGGTATAAAAAAAAGCTGAGAGCTTTTTTGTGTTTGGTAAACATTCAGCTTCAACTTTTTTTCACAGTTTTGGGTGAAAAAAAGCCAAAAACAAGAAGCTGCAAAACCCAGCTTTGAAAAACCGGCTTTTTTTTTCACATCTGTTTTACATAAAAGTTTACCAAACACTATAATCTGTTTTTTTTTTTTTTTTCAAAAGCATTTTTACAAAAAAGTTTACCAAACACTCTACAACTTTATTTTACAGCCGCTTATTCTTACAGCACATTAGAAGCAACTTTTTTTCAAAGCACAACAATACCAAACCAACCCTAAGAAAAGCATGGTCACCCACCCTTGGATCAAGGGTGAAGATTAAATGGTACGATTATGTCTTAATCTCAACCCTTGATATCAAATCTAAAGGTGAGTGAGCAACAATCCTTCATCATCAGGTTACCAAGAAAACAAAATTGTAACAATAAAATCATTGTTGGGCTCCTTTGAGTCAACAACTTCATCCATATCCTTTAATTGTCTTCCTCATGTGTCACAATGCTTTTAAAATGATTGAAAGTTCTTTTGGTGAAATGGATTTTGGGTTCTAAAAGACCTTTTAAGTGATTTTTGGAAGAAGCATCAGATATGTGTTTCACGTTTTTTTTTTATTTTAGTACAACGATATATTTTACATTAAGGGAAGGGGGCAGTTCACATTAAGGGAAGGGGGCAGTTCAATTAAGCCACACAAAGAGCAACCTAATTTGGTATCGAATTCGTCATTCACGAGATTTGAACCTCAAATCTCTTACTTGCAAGTGAAGAGGAATACCACCAGACCTTAATACGATTTTTAATAAGGATTGATTTCAAAAACATTTTCACCAAAAATGCTTTCAGTCATTTTAAAAACACTTCTAGATGAACCCTAAAACCATAGTTATAACTTATAAAGCCATTTTACTCGTATGGTAAACATTATATTTCAATTAATAGTCTCTCATAAACAATTCATTTGTTCTTCAAAGTAGATAGATACCCTGCAGCCTTGACATCCGCAACGACAAAGAACTAATAAATCAAAGCAAGTCGATAAATTGACAAATCCTCTAGCCATTGATGCAGTAAATCATCTATTGAAAATATTACACGATGAGAAACTCAACCAAAAAAGGAAACATGAGCTAATGGATTATCGAAATCATGCTTTCTGAACTGAAAAACCAAGAATCAAGTTTTTGATTTCGTCACTGGCAGCCCTATCAAGAGCTGTTCGCCCATCAGCGTCCTCGACAGAGTAACTAGCACCGGCTCTTAAAAGTTCTTCAATTTTTGGCTGGTCACCTTCGGAGGCAGCCATCAACAACAAAATGTCGACTGGGTGGATGTTTTGGCTTAGAAGAGCATTCATCTTGTCATATGTACCTTCCACAGCAAGCATGCCCATGTAGTTGAAATACTGTCATCAAAAGACATAACCATAAGTTTTTCACTGCGTTCGTATTAGAGAAGTTTGAGTATGCAACAATTTCATGTTTCTGGTTGCAGACGTAACATATAAACAATAAAATGAACCCTTTGTAACCCACACTTACCTCTCCCCCTCGTCTAGATTTACTTGTTTTTCAAAAACTAAATGAGTGCATTACACAATCAAGATACTATCGCGGCGCTGATTAAAAAAATAAGATTCTCCTGGGAATTATACACAATTAAAGAGTCATCAACGACAACATGACCGCAAGAAAATCCTTGTCCTGCAATTTTTCTTTTACAAAGTAGTGCATGATGAACCATCCAGCCTGCCACAAGGAAATTCAAATATTTCCTCTGGCCAACAGAAGCCGCAACAAACGCAAGAATCTTTAAAAGATGCTGATCAATCCTAGCTGTGAACTTATCTGAATTTTGTATTTTGGATTAACGCAATCATCACTTGTAATTATCACTTGTATTATCTGTTTATTATACAAGAGTTTGTTCTACATCAAACTCTCCTTTGTAATCTCTATATAAAGATGAATATACAGAAGGAATGTTCACCGAGCAAAATCATACTCAACCCTCAACCTTTAGTTTTCTATCTGTGCAATAGATGCACATATACAGGTTAATACTATATAACTTGTTCCCGACATCTAGAACTTATGCTTCCATACAGATGTGATACATTTGAAACTCAGGTCTGAGATTTCAGATCCAGTTGATGCTAGCACCAAGTTTAAAGATTGCCTCCAATGCTATAGTGTTGATAGATCAATTCAAGCTTTTAACAGTCCCAAGGCAAGTTTTTGTTTGGTTTATATGTCAGCAAAATATCGTTGCTGCCCTGAGATTTACTTGAGCAAATTCCCTTTTGGTAGACAACTAGAACTCAAAACTTACGAAGAAAAAGAATTCGATGTGCATTTGCCAACGAGCACAAATATTAGAGTCTTACATTCATCCTTCCCTCTTGAATATTTGGAACTAAAGCGGACCAAAGAATTCGATACTTTTCCTAAAATATTCGCAGAACAAAGCCATTCTTACTTACTAGGACCATCTGCTTTTGATGAACAAATTTCTCAATCTCAGTCATCCTGGTGGATAGAGCCTTTCTCTTACAGACACTGCGTCCCGAGTCCAAACTCTCCCTCTGTCCTCTTAGTCTATCTTAGAGTACTAATATCGATATAAAATTCACCTCATCCATTAAAAATCCAAAATATAAGTGTATATAATTAGCTAGTCATGAAACGTCATCATATATGTTCAACAGAATATTAAACAGAAAATTAAAATTGTTGTGGAGAGAGAGAGAGAGAGAGGAGAGAGAAAGTAAAAGAACCTGTTCAACGTCATCCTTATCATAATCATCACGGGATTGGCTTCCATATATGCCAGCATCTTCAGCACCCACACCGTTTTTACCAAATTTGAACCAGCACTTGGCTCTGGACCCGTTGGAGGCTCCAATACCAACGGGTCGGACCCACCCGAGCCTATTCCGAGTACCCAGAAACCGGGTACTGAATTTGGTTGGAGAATTGAAGGAGTTCTTGGTGAAGAATAAGTGGGTAGCAGCTGTAGTACAAGGAATTGAAGCCATTGCTGAGTTTCTGTGAACTCTGGGAGTTCTCAGTTCGATCACTCCCTCCTATCCACTCATGTCTAAAGGTGGAGAATGATAAACTGTGCCTTCATCTTTCACGGTTCTCCTGGAGAAGCGATCGTAGCCGTTCTTTTGGAATACTAAATTTGTTGACTTTTGTGGCCCGACCAGATTACGAAGAAAAAAACGTAGTCAATACTTTCCTCTTATTTTTCTTTTGATCATTGTAGGATTCTGCACCCTTCAGGTTTGAATTTGTGTTCGAAAGAGGTTGAGAACAAATTTTCAACTACTAAAATCTATAGGAAATTGGACGGAACTCAATTGTAGTTGGGTGAACACACTATTTTAACCAATTGACCTAATTCACTTATTCAGCTAAAATTGTTTGTTTTGAAAACAAAAAGAAACTTGAAGGATAGCTTCAATGAGAAATCTTGTTTGAGCGACACCTTTTTAGGATTTACTCTGTATTTATGGGGACGTTTAGATTTAAATGTTTCGCTGTTCTATTTGTTAAATTAAACATTCATACCTTTTAGAAAATTTATTAAACATTTTTCTACATTTTAGGTTATAAGTAGCATTTTTAATGCAAAATTACACAAGTTGCCATATATATAATGTACCAATTAGCTAATAATTATCCAAAACTTCTACAATCTGGTAGACGTATGTTTTAAAAATCTAAAAACATATCAAATTGGATTTATTTATGCTTCTAACGTGATATATATTTATGTTCTTCTTTCACGACCAATCTACAATTTTTCGTGCCATTTATTTTCTGTGAGTCGATACCCTTCCATCCTCCTTTGTGAGTCATGTTCATTCCCTTTTTATTTTCATTTTATGCAAACCTCTTGATTTGAGTATTCGTATCATGGTACATTTGGAAAATAGATTCCAGTGGTAGATGATATGGGGTATGTTTCCATTTAGTATTGGTACGTTTCTAGCCAATATGTTGGTACGCTTTAAGTTGCCGTGGGTACATTTTATATTAGCATCGGTACGTTTCAATTTGGCATGAGTACATTTCTAAACGTATGTTGGTACGTTTTCATGTTGGCATGGGTACATATCCTATCAGCATTGGTACGTTTCAATTTGACATCGATACATTTCAAGTCATATTAGTACATTTCAACATGGCATGAGTACAATTCAAATTAGAAATTAATATATTTAAATTTGGTTTCAATTTAAAATTCATACTCATATATCTCATGCCGAATGACATTAATCTCATTCCAACTAATCCTTTTTTTTTTTGGTAAATTCCAACTAATACCTTTTGTCAACAACTTTTATGCAAATTATATTGTGCTACAATATTTAAAATCACTTGTTTTCTGTTGCATACTACACAACCATGCAATCAAACTAGAACTCAACAAGATAAATGTAGCGTCCATGGTGTTTTCATCATGTTGGATTGGGCATCTCCATTATTTCTGTTGATGTAAGTTTTTTCCGTGGTCAATGAAGTTTTATTATAAAAAAAATGTTAAATATTCAAAAATTAAGAGATAATATTGATGATTTAATAGTTAATATCTATTAATTATCCAGCATCCCCCTTAAAAAGGGGCATAATTCTGACAAGCCAAAAAAACCTCTATTAACTAAAAAGATTCAATGGGAAATTAACATATAACATTTTTCATTTAGAAAAAAAACTAACTAAAATAAATTTAAAAAATGCTTAGGTGGTGACTAGTCAAGGCGTCTTAATCAAATTTTTAAAAGGCACAGATGTTTAATAAAAAAAATTGTAGAAATGGAGTGGGGCATTCAGATCAAAATTGTCTATATTTTAGGGATTTGGATTCCATCCGGATCCAAATTGTGGGATCCTAAGGATCCTCATATTTTAGTTATTCATTGTGCATTGTGTGGTAAAAAATCATTTGATTATTTTTATTTAAAATTAAACACAAATAGTACCTGATGAAAACTGATTACACGATGTACGATTAACGGCTAGGATCCCACAAAGTGAATCCAAAGAGGATCATCTTTCATATTTTAGATCATCAATCGAATATCTACTCAACAAAAACGTCACCCAAAGTTTTATTGTATGACCACTTGATTAAATGGTGACTCTTAAAGGCACTCTATCAGTCTGTCTTCTTTATTGCAGTTAGATGCCTTAATTGTTTCACATTTATCTAATTTTGTTTGCAAGAATAATCAATGAATGAAAACTTGAAAACAGATGATTCGAACAGCTAATATAAAATACAGGATGCGTCTGGAAAGGTTTCCAAATATTCATATATCATTTCCAGTTTAGTTTTTATTTTTGTGCTATAGATAGAGGATATGTAGGATGAAAAGAGAAATAAATAAGAATGGTGGAAGTTGATTTCTATCTCTCCGTTCAATTGCATCCCATCATCTAACCCGAACAATTTACACTGATACCCAATATCAAAATTCTGAGATGTAATTTAGGCTATGTTTTGGATGACCGATTTCCAAATCCCAGCGATTGAAGCCAATTAAGTACAAAATAGAGTACAAAAGGGATTTTTTTTTTTTTTTTTAAACAAACGATATTATCTACACTAGAGGGTGGGAGAGTAGGCTAAACCTCACAATAGGTTAGCAATAATGTGGTTTAAATTTGTCTTTGGCAAAAATCGAATCTAAGATCTCTCACTTACAAGTGAGAGGAATATCATTAGACCTTAGTATTAGAGTACAAAATGTTAGATAATGGAGATTATAAATGCCCTTCTTGATCATTACAAAAGCATGTGAGATGATTTTACAAATCCCTACTTGAAAGGCGTCTTTTACAACTCCCTCTTACATGCATTTGTAATGCTTAAGAAGGGCATTTCTATCTATCAACTTCTTGTGAATCGTTTTTTACTAACTTCACCTTAATCTCTTGGAACTTGAAAATCCCTCACCTAAAAGTATCTGAAATGAGTTGAGATTGGCCAAAGAAAAGGAAACAGAAATTGTCACAGCTACACCTCTGCTCGTGACAGATTCTTAACTCTTCTGCAGAAAAAATGGCTGAAAATCTATTGCCTTCCAACCCTTCTCTTTAATTCTCTCTTCTTACAAAATTATGTTATCAGTACAAAACTTCAATTGAACCACCTGCCACCTTAATTATATGTTCTCGGCATAGCAAACCATATTCTGATTGTAATTTATTTCCATTTATTCTAACCAATCAGATTTTAAAAGAAATGGAGAGGATGAATGCCCTTTCTCAAATTAGGAGAAAGGGAAAATTCATATGGTGTGTGTTGAGAAATTCTATCATGCCTTTCCCATGACCTCTTCAAATGCGATGTAAATAGAAAAAGAATAAAAATAGGATTGGACCAGCATCCCCCACATCTACAAAGCACTCAAGTTGCTTCACCAAAACTAACACCATCCTTTTTTATTCCCTTGCCATTCAAGACATGGAAAGAAATGAACAACTTTTTTTTATTTTTTAATTGGAACTATTGTCCGTGATATTTGAACTCACGACTTTCCGCAACAAGGGAGACTGGATGGTGCTACACCAAATGGTTGTGTGAAATTCATAACTTGCTTAAGAAGAAAATAGAATAACCAACATCGTCACTACTCTTACTACTTGATCAGTAATACTATGGATAATGCTAGGGAGACAAAGTTTTTATACTAAATTCAATAAATTAAATGGTGTGATTGTTGACGATTCTTGATTAACATGCTTATTTCCTATTGGTAACACATCATTTTTTTTTGCAAATTTAGTTTAAAAACTTAGTCTGTTTAGCATTACCAGTAATACTACATACTACGTACCTAAAATTGTTCCACATGATCGGACGGTCATAATAAATCCATGACATAATCCAAGTGTCGAAAACTACATTTAGATCAGTAAATGAGACCCAAATGGTTAAAAAGAAGAGAGTGCAAAAGTAAGTGATTCTAATTTTTTTATCTGCAAGCACATGAATGAGGTGACTATATCACCAGCCAACCAACAAATGCTGTTCACTTAAAGAACATAAGGTAAATAATCCTTGTTAAATACCAAAGGCTAAACACCAGATGTCCCGAAAGCCAAGCAATTTCCTCACCAGTACTGAATCCAAAACCACCTCTCGTCATCCACAAGCCACCCCTTCAACTTCAACAGAACCGAACATGTATAAATCCGGCACTGTTGTCACCAGAGACACTGCAAAGATGGCGGCATATGCTCCTGTGGAAATAGGCACCAAGGGAACTGTTGGATCCCTCATAATGAGAGAAATCGAGCACTTCAGCCAGCTCGAACTAAGCAGCCAGTGTAGCTCGCAAAAGGCTCAGCCCCAACTCAAAGACCCGGTTTCATATTTGAAACCGACTTTTGAATCAGTTATAAAACCACAAAAGAAGAAAAAGAGAGGCAGAAAGCTCCTAGCAAGTGTATGTTCTATGGTGGAAGTCTCGGAGAACAATCGACCAACTACTATTTCTGCATACAGTTACAGGAATCTAAGATCTGATGGGAAGAAATTGCCAGGTTAGACAATGCTTTCAGATAGCTTTGAGAAACCCAACTTCTTCAGTCGGTTTGTTATAGGGCCAGCCCATGCTCTGTCCGAGCTCCCACATTTTTATGTCCACAACTTCAACAATGTAAGTTCCTTTTTCACTATTTTTCTGCCTATAGGAGTTTTATCCAGACCAGCATGATCAGAGCTCAGCATCGGGATTTGACTAGTATTTTTCAGTATGGTTTTTGTTTTTTGGGAAACTTCAGGGTTTCTCGGATTAATGCCATTGCTGCTTCCACTGCTGCTAGCACCACAGGGAACAGAAAAAGAAGCTGTTTGATGTTTATTAATTTCTGGAAGATGCACACGTCGGAGATACGACTTTGATGGACTCTAATTCTCGTCTTTAGGGAACTGACCGTCCCAGTGGTCCCGACTCTGATGGATCCTCCACCACCCTTTGTTCCAGCGTCTGAACCATGTTTCTTCTCGTCTTAATCTAAGGTTTGAGCAGACACCTTTTGGCAGGGAATTTCTTAGTGAACAGAATCTTGTTGAGAGAGATGTTACAACCAACTCAGTTCAAGCCGTTCCTGCAACAGCATTAGCCAATGCGGTTCTGGATATGAACGGTGTATTTGAACAGTAGCTTTAAATCAGACTGTAAGTAGAGTTTGTCAACAAATTTATGGTCTATTTTTAGTAGTAGAAATCTTGAGATGTTTAAGAAACGAATTCAACTGCAAAATTTCGGTACATAAGCATGAGTGGATAAGGCAGAGTATTGAGTGGTATGAGTGAGATCACTGTCTATGCATTTTGATGTATATTTAAACTAACCTAAAGAATAGATTAATTTAAACCAAATCAAACTCGCAAGAGCACGAATCAATTGTAATAATATATGTAAATACGAGGTCGATCCTACATGGATTGCTTTTACACCCATTTAACCGCTAGACTATATTAAACAAACAAAGAATAGATTGAATTGAATAATTGATTAAGACTATAATTAACAAAAAAAATATAAGACAATTAATTAAAATTACACACCACACAAGAAGAAATTGAGAAACAATGGAAGTCTTAGGTTATGAATCCACCAACAACAATCCTATTTACTTTTCCTAGGGCCAACTACTATCCAATTACCATGCCAATGTTAAAGGTTTTTCTTTCTAAGATATGAATTAATCCATGGTCAGACATCAACTCTTGTATCTCTAAATGATAATTATATCCTATTGGTTAGGCATACAATTAAACACATAAAAACCCATTAAGCGTAGAAGAATCATGTCAACCAAGTAGGACTAGCTTGATATTGGTCATCCTCACTAGTTTGTCTACTCTTCTTAGTCTTAGTTCCAATAAACCTAATTGATTGGTCATCCTCATAGATTTATCTAACTATCTAGATGCAAAATTCCTAAAGGTGATTAGTCATTAGAAATCCGAATTTAGAATAAAATACCCACAAAGATTAAGAATAATACATGGCATATAATCGGATAATAATTAACAAAGTACTTTGCAAATATTCATGTTATGGCTTCATCATAAACCTTAGAAAATAACTTAGTTACATAGAAACAAAAATAAAAGAAAGATAGAACACGGAGTCCATGGCAAAGCACATCCCTAAGCTCTTCTTCACAAATTGCAGAGACGGTGAATGGTAGTATGGTGTGGGGTGATGTCGGGATGCGGGGGGGTATGTAGAGAGATCTTAGGGACCTTATTTATACTAGAAAAACCCTAAAAGGTCTGGGAGAAACTCTCCTAAATAAAACAAACTCCTAAACAATTAATGACACAAACTAGGACAGAATCATTCTTGGCTTGGGAAACAAGTCAACTGTCTTGCACACCAGTTTTGGAGTTGATTTATCTTCTGGAAAATTCTGTAAAAATATGGGAAACGTAGATTTAACTCTTATCTTTCCAAGCATATATCGCACGCTACTAGGAAAAATCGGAAAAGTCTCCAAATCTTCATTCTCCCACAGCTGAAAAATTCTGATGGGAAAACAACTTCTGCGGGATTGATTTATGAAATTGGAATGAATAGCTTCATGGAAAGTTATGAAATTCGGGCACAACGAGCTTCAGCCTCTTAGCTTCCTTCTCCAATTGGTCTTGCATCAAAACTCCTCTGGAAAGTCAAATTATCACCAAAAATGTCCTGCGTGCGCAGAATGGCTGAAACTAAGAAAATGAAAGTATTAAGGCTCTTTTATAATCAATTCCTTAACAAAACATAGGGATAAATGATATGAAAATATGATAAATAATGCACCTATCACATCTCCAACCAAGTAATTTCAACCCGAAAAGTAGTTAAAATCATAGTTAAAACACGAGCGATATTGCAAAATATAGTGCGCTATATCGCACCATGAAAGAGATTTTGCGATATAATGCAAAAATATCACAATAATAAAAAAAAAGGGTTGAATTTTTACGTTGTATTGCGCGATATTTACGTGATATTGCACAAATATGCCACACCAAATGCCTCGTGATCCTATTGCTCCTAGCGTTGGAGCAAGGTTCAACATTAACTGAAAACCTAATCACAATACTAAAGAGACAGAGAGTCGAAAGGCATTACTTGAAGAAGACATTGTCAATGGCACAAGAGATTCTTTTGCTCACTTTAGTTCTTTTTATTCTTGTGGTGATAGAACCCTAGTCGTAGAACCGATACTTAGTGAGCAAGGAATCCTTTTATTTATAGATAACAATGGCAGCCAACTCCCATCTATTGTGGGTGAGTTGGTTATTGACCCGTTGTATCATATCCAAGAAGAGATGGGGTAGTAGGAGCATTTTATTCAAAGCACGTTGAATGTGTTTCCACGAATATAGGAAGCAAGTATTCCACGTATGACGTATACAACTCTTAATGAATGTGCATTATCAACATATACCTTAACCTTTATCACAACTAGTTGAGCTCACATTGGATTCTTATATTCTCCCACATGGACACATGAGAATGAAGTTGCAAAGAGAAATAATAGAACAATAGTTGAAATGGAAAAGATAACAATGGAATGAAGTTTTATAAACACTACAGTCTACTGCTAAATAGATGCCCTACATGAGCATTAGATAATGTCACACCATTTGAAGTATTCAGTGAGAGAAAGTCATCAGGGATAAAACACCTCAAAGCTTTTAGGTCAATGTGCTACTCATACATACCAAGCAATTGGAGACACAAGCTGGAGGAAACAAGTACTAAAGGTATCTTTATTGGCTATGGTACATGTGAAAAGGGCTACATAATCTTTAGTCCTACAACACTGAAAGTGACAATTTTTAGAGATGTGATATTTGATGAAAATGGAAAGTGGGATTGGGAGGAAAGTCTTTAGTCCTACAACACTGAAAGTGACAATTTTTAGAGATGTGATATTTGATGAAAATGGAAAGTGGGATTGGGAGGAAAACAAAGTGAAGTAGATCTATGTGTCATTCATTTCCAACAATTTTATGAATTCGGTGAGAATGAGGAAGCCACTGAATCCAGGCAACAAAGTCAGGCAACCACTGAGTCTCCTACATCTCAGTTCAGTCCTAGTGAAGCTTCAAGTCCACAAAGGATCACACCTAGTTCACAGACTAGTCATTTAGACTTGGAATCCCATGATTCAACTCCATTGAGGTGGAGAAACTTGAGTGAAGTATATGAACGAAATCTCTATTTTGTTGAGCTTGAAAACCATAATGATGCATCACTAGATGAATCCTGGAAGAAAGCTCTCTATGATGGAGAAGAACAATAATTGAGAGCTTGTGAGTAGGCCAACTAATAAACCTTTGATTGGGGTTACATGGGTGTACAAGATTAAGTTAAAATCTTGATGTTCTGTGCAAAAGAACAAGACAAGGCTTGGCAAATGGATATGCACATAAACCAGGGATTGACTGCAATGAAGTATTTGCTCTAGTTGTAAGACTTGACACAATTTGAACACTCATTGCCATTGTTGCACAAAAGAGATGGAAATTGTTCCAACTAGATGTAAAGTCTACTTCTTAAATGGGTTACTGGAGGAGGAAGTGTTTGTAGACCAACCGAAAGGCTTTTTTGTTCAAGGAGAGGAAGATAAAGTCTATAAGCTTCACAAAGTTTTGTATGACTTAAAAAAAGTACCAAGAGCATGGTATGGAGAAATAAACTCTTACTTTGCTTAGTGTGGATTCTAGAAAAGTACCAGTAAAGCAACCTTATACACTAAGAGCAAGGAAAGTGGAGAAATTCTTATTGTATCCATCTATGTGGATGATATAGTGTACACTAGAAGTAGTCAAGAGTTAATTGAAGAATTTAAAGCTGATATGATGAGTAAATATTAGATGATTGATTTTGGTTTTCTACATCAATTCCTTGGGATGGTTATGCAAACTGAGACAAACATTTTCATTCACCAGAAGAAATATGCTTCATCTTTGCTCAACAAATTTGGCTTGCAAAACTGCAAAGCAATGAGTATACCTTTTGTTCCTAGTGATAAGCTAAGAAAGGAAGATGGAAGCGGACAAGCAAATGAATCCCAGTATAGGAAAATTGTTGGCAACTTGTTATACCTTATTGCAACTAGACCAGACATAATGTTTAGCTTCATGCATTGTCCATCAAATAAACACTTCGGAACTGCCAAAAGAGTGTTGAGGTATATCCAAGGGATTCTGAATTTTGGTCTAGAATATGTGAAAGGTAAGAATGCAGTGCTGGTTGAATATTGCGATAATGGAGGACATGAGAAGCACAAGTGGATATGCGTTTACATTGGGAGTGTGGTGTTTTCCTGCGTTTAATGGAGGGTAATGCTATCTATACACTTATTTTTACTTCTCACACAACTTTTTAAATTTTTGGTCATCGGATCAAATGAATTAAGATGATCAGTTACTAAAAGTTAATAAGGGTGTGTAAAAGGTAAAAATTGATGTGTAAATAACACTTTCTTTTATATATCTCGATCAGTTTTGGCTCACTTCGGTTTGAACTTTTAGAAGCTCTATTTTAGCAAACTTGTAAACAGGCAGGTGTGTTAAAACCCGAATTTCAACACATTAGTTTTTAAACCGACCCAATATGTTCGTCATGGGCGGGTTGAATTGTTAGTTTGAAAAAATGTCTAACATTGACTGTATAGTTGTTAAGAGTTCAGTGACAGGGACCATTT